CTCTTCCGGGCGATTTCCGATGGTGACTTCTTCTGGGTTTTTTTCCGGGCCCATTCGTCCCCGTGACCTCTTCCTGACTTTCCGAAGGTGAGTTCTGCCGATGCGATTTCTGCTGGCCCCCCCCTCGCTCCTCCTCGTCCTCCACCTCCCCGCAATTCCTCCCAGGCCTCCTATTATCCTCTCATCCCCCCTCACTCCTAACTCCTCCTCCTGCCTCATGTTCCCTCTCCTTTCTCCTCCCTCCTCCTTCTTGCCTTCTCCCTCCTCCCTCCTGCGTCTCACCTCATCCTCTTGTTCCATGCCACGAGGCATCGCCTGCGGAGCGAAACAGCAATACTCCACTCGACTCGGCGCGTGGCAACGAAGCGGGCCGGCAGCAAGTGCTACTCATCTCTACTAGCCGCATGGCAACCCCACGTGGCAAGGCCTGAGAAGTACACTACCCCACTCAACTCGCAACGCGGCAACGGCATGGGGGGCGAACGAGAAGAAAAAACAGTCAACGCATCACGTGGCAATGCCGCGTGAACCGATCATAAACAATCCCACTGCACTCACCACGTGGCAGCGTCTGGGGGGGGGACATAATGAAGATTACATTATATTCGCCACGTGGCAACGCCGTGGGGCGGGAACACATAGAGCGCCAACCCGTTCCCTACGGGGCAACGGCAGGCCGGCGAACAAAACACAATACACACTTGCGCGCAACATTGCCAAAGTGCACAATTCTGTTGTATTCGACGTGGCAACGCCGCCGGGGCAAAGGCCAAATTCTATTCGGCACGTGGCTCCAACGCGGACGCAAACGACGACGATGTCGACGACGATGGCAACGACGCGACGAGAACGACGACGACGGACGACGGACGACGGACGACGACGACGACGACGACGACGGGCGACGATACCGACGAACACGACGACGACGACGACGACGGCAACGACGACGACTACAATGATAACGAAAATGCCAACGACCATGACAATGACAATGACAATAATAACGACAATGACAGCGACGACATCGACGACGACGAAGACGGCGACTATGATTATGATGATGATGGCGATGATGATGATGACGATGAGGATGACGATGATGATGATGATGATGATGATGATGCTGATGATGACAACCACGCCGCCACCGCGGCCACCACCACCGCAGCCCGCCAGCCTGCCCGCCCGCCCGCCCGCACGCACGCACGCCAGCACGCCCGCGCGCGCGCGCTCGCGCGCGCTACGTGGCGACGCCGGGGGAGCGAAAAAGATACTGCTCCAACTCGAGGGGGCAACACCCGAGGGGCGGAAACTTGTATTCCACTGTAGTTGCCGCGTGGCGGCGCCTGAGCACGCGGCAACGAAAAAGGTCGGCAACTCATGCGTCATCGTCTTCGTGCTCGTCCTGGTACCCGCTGGTTGCCAGGTGGGCAGCTGCTCGCTCAGCGTCCCTGAGTGTTCTGCGTCAGAACATAGGACAACGAGCGGTTGGACGATTTGTTGGGTCAAGTGGACTTCTCTCGCAACGCCCTGTTGTAATAGTGTCAAAAACCAGCGCAAGGCGAAACGCAGCTTCCTCACGAGGGAGACGCTTCCGCTCGTCTGCTTCTGGAGCCAGACGAATGGTCCGAGGGGGGCCATGGCTACTCGGTTGAAAATGCGACGGCCGAGGAAAGAAAACCGGCCGCATAGTTTCGAAGCGTGCCCTTGCGACATCTCATCGGCTGACGAGATCTCCTGGAGCTCCGCAGACCATCGCTTCCGCTTCTCTTCGCCGAGCGCCCAGGCGGAGCTCTGGCCCCCAAGTGTGATCTGTAACCAAGGAACAAAATGCTGCTGCCCACGTGCTTTTTCTTCGGGCCCAGTCTCCAGCCCAAGAAGTCGGTTGCTGCTGCCTCGAAGACCCCGGCAATCCACTCTGTCGCCGACAGTCCGTTGGCGCGCTTCGCAGCACTTCCTGCCCAGAAGTAATCGTCGACGTAAAAAAAATCACAGCGCGGGAAATGTTCAACATCGTGTGCTGGATTGCTCCTGCGGGCCCGCGCCGCCCAGTTGCTCCTCCACGGCTGCCGAACGCGTGGGTCCACGGCGGGGCCCCCGTCCAGCGAGGGTTGCCCGCGTCCCGCACGGATGCCCAGCAGAGCCAGCGGTGGGGGCTGCCAACGGTGGAAGCGTCTTGAACGCAGAAGCGAAATCAGCCTTCCCAAGGTGGCCAGATTGATGCCCCGGCGAGCAAGAGCAGGCGACGCGCAGAGACGCAAAGGCCTGGCGGCAGTCGTCGCGCAACAGTTTTCGCGGCAACCAAACGAAATCATCCACAGCGTTCTTCCGGACATTCCGGATCGTTCTCGTCTTGGCCGCGGTGGCGCCGCCGTGCTGTTCTCGAATGCCAAACGAGCCCACAAAAAAAAAAACACCTCCGATAAATCGGCGCTCTCAAGAGGAACCCGGGCGCCAACGCACCCTTCCGAAACGTCTGCCAAAGTCTGCCTCCAGATGTCTGTCGCCAAATCGTGCTGCAAGGGCCTGGCAGGCCGCCTCGCCTTCGCCTGTGCGATTGTCTCACGGTCGATGCTCGGCCAATTCTCCTCAAGCTCGCGCAAGGGCGGAGGCCCGGCGCCGCCGGCCCAGCCCCAGCTACGAGTGCCGCCTGGAACGTCGACTCCGGGGCCCCCAATGCGCAGTTCCTGCCAGGGGATCGAAGCACTCATGTCTCCTGCGCCCCTCCGCCCTTGCGACTGCTGGATTGAAGGGCGGGGGGGGGCGGGCGCAGAGGGGGGGTGCGGGGGCAAGGGAAGAAGGAATAAATAATACGGCAGAGACGAAAGTTGATGGGGAGGGGCAGGCGGCATGATCGCTTGCTCTTCCCAGTTCCTCTGCCAGAGGAAACCCGCTCAAGAGGTCGCGCAGGTGCGTTGTGTCCGCGCGATGGGGCGCTCGCAACGTGCCCCCCGTGGCGAATGGATCTGCCTTGCCCAGAGCGCGAGCGCTCTCTTGAGGCAGCTGCTGGCGCCATAGACCCAGATCGTGCGCGCGATCATGTTTCTGCGCCCTCCAAGACTGCAACGCCCAGCTGGTCTCCGAAACATCGCTGCTGGCTGAGACGTCCAGAGCTGGATGCACTGCTCTTGCTCTTCGCTCACGTCACGCCGCATATGCTGGCACGACGGGCCCCGCGACCCGAAGTCGGCGACAGCGCAGTGCATGTGCGAAACGGGATCTTCAATGCAATTGAATTCATCGTCGCTGCGAGCTGGTCCGTCACTGTCGCTGGAAGAGCAGCTATCAGGCGAATGGGGTCCGCCTTCGCTCGTGTCACTCCAGCTCCGCTCGGCGCCAGCTCAACGGCGACCGGGGCCCTTGCCGCCCTTCGCAGGGGGTAGGGGCGTCGGGGGGCACCGCTGCTTGCCCTGCCTGCTGGCCCGTGGCCGGCTAAACGCTCTGCTGGCAGCCGCCGCCGAGCTTGCCGCCTCCTTTGCCCGCGCCCTTGTCGCTCCAGCCCTTGTCGCCCCACTTGCCCTTGTAGGCGCGGTTGGAGCCCTGCGTGCTGGCCGTCGAGCGCGCGCGGGCACGCCTAATTATGCCCGTCCACTTGGGAGGGCATGTGCATGGGCGCGCAGGCCGCGTCCCTGCGGCGCGTCCTGCCGTCTCCTGCCAGAGGCTGGCATCGCATTCCGCCGCAGCGCGGCCTGAGCCCTCAACCGCGAGGCGGCTGATGTCCAGGAGCGCTGACGAGATCCACTGAGGCGGCTTCCTTGCCCACTTTAACTTGAACCGTGAGCTGTGCCAGTGCGCGCGCCACCAGGCTGCTGTCCTCTGGGCGTGCGTCGCCCCCGAGCCATCCTTGGGCTCGCGCTCCACAGACATCCACTGCGGGGTCCATTTGTGCAAAGGGCCTGCTGCCACGTAGTCGCGGCCGTGCCTGGCGGCCTTCCCGGCCGAGCCCGCCAACGTCTCCAAGTTGTCATAGGGCACGCAATGGTCGTGCCAGAAGCCCAACAGGCCAGGCCTCTGCACGCGCTCCGTGGCGTTTAGCTCCTTGTAGCCGGAGCGCGCAAAACTCGAGGAGACGCTGCGGCCGCGGCGGTCCATGCGCATCCTCTTGCCCAGGCGGGCCAGCTCTCGCGTTGCAGCGTCGTTCTGCTTCGCTGCCCTGACGCGCCTCTCCGGGGCCGCCGCCGCCCGTTGCGCGTGCAAGCACAGCGTCGGCTCTGCTCCCTTGGAGTCAGCTGGGAAGAGCTGAAGCAGCAACGGCATCGGTGCGACTGCCAACTGCCATTGGGTGCTCACGCACGTCGACTTGAGTCCTTCCAGCGCCCGCGCCTGCAGCGCCTCGGAGCACGCGGGGCTGTGCCGGGCCAGCCACTCGCGAAGGCCCTGTTCTTCGTCAGGTTGTGCTGTCGCAGCTCGTGCCGCTTCGGCGCGAGCCTCGGGGCCTGGGCCGCGCGGCGAAGGCCGCGGCGTTGGCGAGCGACCCCTTGAGCGGGCGCGGGACCTGTCCCCGGAACCGCCGCGGGAACTCCTCGAGGAATCTGACCGCCAGCTGCGGGAACCGCCCATGGCTGGAAAGGGACCTGCCATGAGCACACGTGTGCTGCGATGTGCCACAAAATTGCAATACAACCAACCAATCGGGGGATCATGCATCCAACGAACATGCAATCAAATGAACAAGTGATGGATGCGTAGAAACTTCAAGAATAAGCCTGTGCAGGGGCAAGGGGGGCAGGAGAGGAGAACACGACATGCACTGACAATGCGAACTGTCCTCTCACTCCTCCCACTTTCCTTTCATAATAACTAGGTTGTATGAGGAGGAGGAGGAGGAGGCGGCGGAGGAGGAGGAGGAAGACGGAGGAGGCGGAAGAGGAGGAGGAGGAGGAGGACGAGGTAGAGGTGGAGGAGGAGAAGGAGAAGGAGGAGGAGGAGGAGGAGGTGGTGGAGGAGGTGGTGGAGGAGGAGGCGGAGGAGGTCGCCGCCGCCGCCGCCCGGGCTGCCGGAGCTCCACCAGCCCCGCGCCGCCGCGCGCCAGCCCCCCGCCCAGCAGAGCGGCGAGGGTGGCGCCGTAGGAGGCGCGGCCGGCGCGCACCTGCGCCTCGAGGGCGAGAAGCAGCGGCAGGCGCGAGAGCTC